TATCAGCATCAGTATCATCAACAGCATCATCATCAGCATCATCATCACCAGCACAATCATCATCAACGACAACATCATGATCATCATCAGCATACCATCGTCATCAGCATCGGCATCAGCAGCATCATCAGAATCATCATCAGCAGCAGCATCATCATCATCAGCATCATCATCATCATCAGCAGCAGCATCATCATCGTCAACATCAGCATCAACATCGTCATCAGCCGCATCATCATCATCAGCAGCAGCATCATCAACATCAGAAGCATCAGCATCACGATCATCATCATAATTATCGTCAGCAGCGTCATCATCATCAGCATCATCATCATCATCATGATCAGCAGCATCATCATCATCATCAGCAGCAGCAGCAGCAGCAGCAGCGTCATCATCAGCAGCAGAAGCATCAGCATCAGCATCATCAGTAAAATCAGCATCATCAACATCAGCAGCATCATCATTATCAGCAGCATCATCATCATCAGCAGCATCATCATCATCCTCATCATAATCATCATCCTCATCATCAACATCGTCATATCATCATCATCATCATCATCATCATCATCATCATCATCATCATCAGCAGCAGCAGCAGCAGCAGCAGCAGCAGCAGCATCAGCATCAGCATCAGCATCATCAGCAGCAGCATCAGCATCATCATCAGCAACAACAGCATCATCATCAGCCGCAGCATCATCATCAGCATCATCAGCATCATCATCAGCAGCATCATCAGCATCAGCCGCAGCATCATCATCGGCATCATCAGCATCATCATCAGCAGCATCATCAGCATAATCACCATCCTTGTCGTCGTCCTCCTCCTCCTCCTCCTCCTCCTCCTCCTCCTCCTCCTCCTCCTCCTGCTCCGATCCCTGGTGGCTCACCCTTGGAGCGTCCAAATGGTATGCCGTCTACATCGGGATGCCTTGTGGGGCTCTGAGAGGAGTGGGGTCGAGGATATCTAAGCTAGAGTTTCGTCCGATTCGTTCGAGACATCCTCACGATCTGCTCAGAAAGCAGCAGGGTCCCAGCCGCTAAACGAGAGCCTCGCTCGAGGCATCCCCACGGCCCGGGCGGCTTCCCCTTAGGGGTGCTGAAACCAGCGCCTCGCTCGAGACATCCTCACAATCTGGACTGAAAGCTGAAACCTCCAAGTCACCGAACAAGCAAACCGCCTGACACGTCCCCACGGCAAGGGCACGAAACGGGCCCGTGCAACACCCCCTGGCGCCCGCCCCCTGGGGTGCTGAAACCAGCGCCTCGCTCGAGACATCCTCACAATCTGGTCTGAAAGCAGGACATCCAAGTCACCGAACAGACAAACCGCCTGACACGTCCCCACGGCCTGGGCACGAAACGAGCCCGTGTAACACCCGCTGGCGGCACCCCTCGGGGTGCTGAAACCAGCGCCTCGCTCGAGAACTCCTCACAAGTTGGGCGCGAGGCGAGCCTGCGTGTGTGAGTGGTCTGTATGACTGAGTCCGGGTGTGAGTGGCTCTGAGTGTGAGTGACTCAAAGTGTGTATGCGTCTGCGTGCGTAAAGTGAGTCTGAGTGTGAGTATGTCTGCGCCTGAGTGTACCTGAGTCTGAATGAGCCTAAGTGTTGAGTCTGAGCATACAAGAGTCTGAGTGTGATTATGAGTGTGTGTGTGTGAGTCTCAGTGTGAGCAAGTCAGAGTGTGCGTGGGTCTGAGTGCGAGTGAGAAGAGGGAGGGGGAGAAGGGGAGAAGTAGGCGTTCTAGTCATAACAAGATCCCTAGACTTAGGGCATGGGGAAAGCACTCAAAAAGAGAGCGAGGGATAAAGAGAGAGAGAGAGGAAAGGAAAGGGGGGTAGAGAGAGAGAGAGAGCAGAAAGAGAGAACAGAGAGGGGAGGGAGAAGGAGAGAGAGAGAGAGAGAGAAAACAAAAAAAAACTGGCGAAGAACCCAACCATGTGCAGCTGTGTGTAACGCAGTTGTGGGTATCGTCCTCGGTGAATCTCTCTCTGGGCCACGACGCGTGTGACGGGAGTGCCAAAATTGGCACGAGTACGACATGCGGACGCTGCCACCAAAACCGTTGGTGCAGCCCCATGCGAGGCCACGAAACGTGTGAGGGGTGCGCCGAAGTTCACGGTGGAACCACGTGCGGGCGCTGCCACTAGGGCCTTTGGGGGCCACGAAACGTGGAAAGGGTGCGCCGAAATGAAGGGTGGACCTGCATTCGAAACCTGCCTCTATGGGGCCACGAAACGTGTGAGGGGTGCGACGACGTGGAGGTGGAACTGCATGCGGACCCTGCCACGGGGGCCTTGGGTGGAGCACTCTATGGGGCCACGAAACGTGTGAGGGGTGTACCGAAATGAGGTGGAACTGCACGCGGACCCTGCCACAGTGGCCTTGGGTGGAGCGCCCTATGGGGCCGCGGAACGTGCGAGGGTGCGTCGAAATGGGCGGGTGGAACTGCATGCGGACCCTGCGACTGGGGCCGTCGGCAGAGCACCCTATGTGGCCATGAAACGTGTGATGGGTGCGCCGAAACGGAGGTGGAACTGCATGCGGATCCTGCCACTGGGGCCTTCGGCAGAACACCCTATGGGGCCACGAACCGTGTGAACGGTGCGACGAAATGGGGATGGCACTGCACGCGGACCCTGCCACTGGGGCCTTCGGCGGAGCACCCTGTGGAGCCGCGAAACGTGTGAGGGGTGCTCCGAGATGGAGGTGGAACTGTCCGCGGACCCTGCCACTGGGGCCTTCGGCGGAGCATCCTATGGGGCCACGAAACGTGTGATGGGTGCGCCGACATGGGGGTGGAACTGCATGCGGACCCTGCCACTGGGGCCTTGGGTGGAGCACCCTATGGGGCCACGAAACGTGTGAGGGGTGCGACGAAATGGAGGTGGAACTGCATGCGGACCCTGCCACTGGAGCCTTCGGCGGAACACCCTCTGGGGCCACGAAACGCTTGAGGGGTGCGCCGAAACGGAATGGGAACTGCATGCGGACCCTGGCACTGGGGCCTTGGGTGGAGCGCCCTATGGGGCCGCGGAACGTGCGAGGGGTGCGTCGAAATGGAGGTGGAACTGCATGCAGACCCTGCCACTGGGGCCTTGGGTGGAACACCCTCTGGGGCCACGAAACGTGTGAGGGGTGCGCCGAAATGGACATGCGGAGGGCAGAGGCAGGGATGGGAGGAGGGAAGGGAAGGGAAGAGGAAGCGTGAGGAGGTGAGACGCGGGACGCTGTCTCTTCAAAATGAGGACCCAACACCACAGGATGGTTGGGGGGATAAACAATTATCATGGCGAAGGACCCCACCATATGCGGTTGTGAGTGGCGCAGTTGTGAGAACCGTATTCGGTGGAGCACCCTATGGGGCCACGAAACGTGTGAGGGGTGGACCCAAACAGTGGTGACGCCCACATGTGAGCACTGCCACGGGGGCCTTAGGTGGAGCCCCCTTATGGGGCCACGAAGCACGTCAAGGGTGTGCCCAAACGGAGGTGGAACTGCACGCGGACCTTGCCACTGGGGCCTTCGGTGGAGCCCCCCTTGGGGCCACGAAACGTGTGAGGAGTGCACCGAAATAGAAATGAAACTGCATGCGGACCCTGCCACTGGAGCCTTCGGTGGAACTCCCGATGGGGCCAAACGCTGTCCTGGGTGGCGCTGACGCATGCGGACCCTGCCACTGGAGCCTTCGGTGGAGCTTCCTATGGGGCCACGAAGCGCTGTTTTGGGTGGCGCTAACGCATGCGGACCCTGCCACTGGAGCCTTCCGTGGAGCTCCCTATGGGGCCACGAAACGCTGTCCTGGGTGGCGCTAACGCATGCGGACCCTGCGACTGGAGCCTTCGGTGGAGCTCCCTGTGAGGCCACGAAACGCTGTCCTGGGTGGCGTTGACGCATGCGGACCCTGCCGGCGGAGCATTCGGTGGAGCCCCCTATGGGGCCACGAAGCGCTGTTTTGGGTGGCATTGGCACTGGCGGACCCTGCCATTGGAGCCTTCGGTGGAGCTCCCTAATGGGTCACGAAACGCTGTCTTGGGCGGCGTTGACGCTGAACGAAGGAGTCGAGAGCTCCATGGCCGATGGCCCCATGTGTTAGGGGTGGCGCGCAAATCTACGATTTCCTTGGACGTATCGAGAACGTGGGCGGAGAACTGTGCGCAGTGGCAGAGCTGGTCCTGCCAAAACCGATCCTCTCCTCGGGCGTGTGCGCTGCATCCCGCGGGGCGCGGGGGTCGCCAGGCGCCCGCTGCATCAAGGCGGCACACCCGCACGATCATCTGGGCAGAGCGGGAGCCCCGCGACCCCGACTGCTGCCGCAGACGAGGAACTCGGGAAGAAATGACTCATAATCTATGTGGGGGGCGATCCTCCTCGTCCTCCTCGTCCTCCTCGTCCTCCTAGTCCTCCTCGTGCTCCTCGTCCTCCTCGTGCTCCTCGTCCCCCTCGTCCTCCTCGCCCCCATCGTCCTCCTCGTCCTCCTCGTCATCCTCGTCCTCCAGTTGACCGAAGGGACGATCCCCTCCCGAGTATCCGTTGGTAAACGCGGGAACGATGGATGAGAGACGATGATGGAGGCTCTACCCTTTGATCCACTCGTCTAACAGTCGGGATGTGTTACCAGTGATACTTGCGAGCCCTTAGGGGCAGCGGGCACAGCAAAGGATAAAAGAGGAAGGGGGTTCATTCACGTCGAGCGTCCGTCGACTTGAGTCGAGCTTGAGTCGAGCTTCGATCGAACGTAAGTCGAGCTAGAGTCGAACTGGAGCCAGACTGGAGTCGGACAGACCTTTGCGGCTGGGCCCCGGGAAGGTCCCCCAAAGTGAACACCCAGGACTCCTGGAGGCAGGGGCCCTCTGGCCGAGCAGCAGCACGGAGGGCTCACCAACCGGGGATGCCCAGCACGTTGCTCGCGCTGTCGCTCGGGCTGACGCTGCTTAGGCTGACGTCCGAGTGCGCCGACCGCGACCTCAAGGCCGACCCTCCCGGTGTCCCCTCACGGCTCGTTCCTCGTGGTCCCCTGCCGCGGCGGTCCTGGAAGACGGGAGGATCGGCTACGCGCAGGAGAGACCCTGGGCAAGGATGGCCTTTCGTACCCGGATCACGGGGGGGCAATGGTGGCCAAATCCAAGCGCGCAGGCAGCCGCCGTCGCATCTCGCTCAGCGATCGGGGGGCCACAGTCTTGAGCAGGGACCGACCGTCCCGGCATTCCCATAGTCCTACCACAAAATGGTCTTAGAACCCAACCGTGTTCTAAGAACAGAAACAATGTCCTTAGAACATTAACCCGACGTGTTGAACCAAGACGGTCTCCGCCAGAAATGTTCCAAGAACGTCTCGTGGAAACCGCAAAAGGTTCCTAGAACACTGCTTGGCAGGGCCATAGGCGAGCCAGGACGCGCCGCCACTGCTTGAACCAAGGGCCCCTCCAGCGAAGACCACTCCTATCTTCCGCGGGTGCCCGCCCGGACCTCCGAGGTCAGCGCTGGGGCCCTGCCTCTCCCAGCGCGCGGGAGGAGGAGGAGGAGGAGGAGGAGGAGGAGGAGGAGGAGGAGGAAGAGGAATAAGAGGAGGAGGGGGGAGACGCCCAGCGCCGACCCCCCAGGGAGCCCGCGCGGGCCTGCGCCAAGCCTGCGACTGTGCTTGGAGGCGGCCAGGGGCTCCGAGCCGGCTGAGCTCCGGAAAAACCTGCCCCGGGGGGGAACGAGGCCAGATCCGCCCAACATCGGCCCCGCGACACGTCCCATGGCCGAAGCTGACCAGCTCCGGCCGTGGCGACGAAGGGGAGGGGCCCATTCTCCCCCCCTGCTGCTGGCTGGACCCGGGGCTGGGCCAGCTCGGTCCCCCAGCCGGCTCCCATACGGCCGTGCCACTTCTGTTCCTCTCGAGGTCCACGCTGCGCCCAGAGTGCGACGAGTGGGCGCTGCTCATCTGGTCGCGGGGCTGCTGACTCTTGGCGGCCTTGGCGTAGCCCGGGCGGCTCTGGGGCTCCAGGATGATCTGGGATTAGGGCGTGGAGGAGCAGGACGAGAAGGAGAAGGAGGAGGAGGTGGGGGGGGAGGGGAAGGGGGAGGGGGATAGCGAAGGGGACGGAGAGGGGGGGGAGGGGGAGGGGGAGGGGGAGGGCGAGGGTAGATGGAGGCACCACGACGTTGCCGTCGCCGTCGCCGTCGCCGTCGCCGTCGCCGTCGCCGCCGCCGCCATCATCGTCGTCGTCGTCGACATCGTCGTCGTTGCAGTCGCCGCGGCGAGTGAGTTGGGAGGCCCCCGAGGGCCAGGATCGCCGGCAGCTTGCCGCAGGCCGGCTCGGCCGGGAAGTGCGCCACTGTGACCGCGGAGTCGAACGTCTCGCCGCTCCTGCCCCCCCCCGTTCCTCCTTCCTCCACCCCTCCTCGATCCATGTCTTTCCATCCCTCCTCCTCCTCCCTGCCCCCACCCTCCAAGCTCCGCTTCAGCTTGTGTCTCTTTATTTGGGATAGGCTCGCCGTTGGCGTCGCCTGTGTAGCTGTGGTGAGGGGTGATGCGCGATGATCGTCCTCGAAATCGTATAAGATATTCGACGCCTTTCCACCTCCTCCCCATCACCCTCCTCCTCCTCTCCCATCCTCCTACTCCTCAGTCTGCTCTTCCTACTCCTTATCATCCGCTTCTTCTTCATCGTCATCATCACTACCACCAGCATCATCATCATCATCATCATCATCATCATCATCATCATCATCATCATCATCATCATCACTATCATCATCATCATCATCATCATCATCATCATCATCACCACCACCATCATCATCAGAATCAACCCCACCACCACCGGCATCATCATCATCATCACCATCATCATCATGAGCATCATGATAATCGCCGTGATGGTCATCATAATCATCATCAGCAGCATCATCATTATGATCATCATCAACGTCAACCTCATCATCATCATGATCATCATCAGATTCAGCCTCTTCATCATCATCATCATCATCATCATCATCAGCATCATCATCGCCTTCATCACCTTCATGATCATCATCACCATCATCATCATGATCATGAGTGTGGGCGGAGGGGGGGCATTCTTTGCAGCAGACGCAGCACGGCTTGCTCTGACGATTTAAAGGGGCTTTAAATCACGCGATTGCGCAATCTGCGGACCTTGTCCGTTTCAAGACACACCGTGTAGAGAGGGGGGGGGAAAGGGCGGGACACACAAGAGAGACCTGGAGCCACAACGGTTTCGGAAGGCACGCTTCACAGCCCCCCTCCTGGCACTCACTACGATGTACACAGATCCATGAGTGTGGGCGGAGTGGGGCATTCTTTGCAGCAGACGCAGCACGGCTTGCTCTGACGATTAAAAGGGGCTTAAAATAACACGATTGCGCAATCTGCGGACCTTGTCCGTTTCAAGACACACCCTTACCCATATCATGTTCTGGGCGGGTGGGTGGGGCACCAACGACTCAGAAGTTGGCCTATGTGGAGACAAAACTGGGGAGGGTAGGCAGACGCGACCTTGGACCACAGCTGTTTGTTGTCCGGGGTGCGTCCTGCGATCTCAGTGTGAGGCTGGCCAGAGAACGAACAGTGCCCTCCCCTCCCCGCGCAACGGGCCCCAGCGACCTCCTCCAGAGGCAGGTGGGAGAACAACAGGGTCGTGCGCTTTCTGTACGGTGTACCGAAAGCACAGTAGTCCATCTGGACAGAGTTACACTTATCTAGCAGGCGTTTAAACCCCGGGAGCTCCCACAACATGCTTGAGGTGGGATTCTCGATCACGCAAGGCACGCCTAGACACGAGAGGGTGTCGAAAAGTTTGGCGGCCCTCTTAGCTTGTTCGCTGCCTTCCTGGACCTTCAGAAAACCACTGGGGGGAAGGTCGGGGAGGCCAAGTAGGCGCTCACGGTCCCGAATCGGTGCTGGCCAGCCTTTTTTGCCCGACCGGTTCCGCCTAGCGCGGGACCAGGACGTGCACACAAGGCCAATCCAGCACATAGCATGAACATTATGGGAGGCAGCTTCGAACAAGCGCCTCGAGACATCTCTACGCAAGCAGTCCTCCAGCGGGGAATCGGCCAGCTCCCAGCTGCGCGTGAAGAAGCCCGCGCCCTTGCAGGCAGTGCTTATGCCGCGACTGCCAGCCATCAGCTCTGCCGCGACCCAACCTGGCCGAGGGACAGTCGGGGCGAGGATGGGGCCGCCACGCGGGCCCCAGTCACCCCAGGCCGAAAAAGAGCGGGCACGATTCACTTGGGGATGGCCTCCGCGGCGACGGCCCGCTCGAACAATGACCCCATCACCTCGAACATCTGGCGGCCGAAGTCCCTCGAGGCAGGGGCCATGGCATTGAGGAGTTGGTGCACGGCTCCGGGTTTCCCGTACCTGTTCAGGGACGAGTCTGTCCTCCAATGCCCCCGAGCCTTCACAGCCCCCCAATCCCGCCGGCCTGACAGGATGTCGTCCGACGCCCCCCCGCGTCGCAGCTGGTAGAGGCAGACCCGGGGGAGGCCGCACTTCCTGGCCGCGACTCCGAACTGGGCCGCCAAATACGCGCCGGGGGTGGGGAAGATCAGGTCGGTCGGCGCCCTCCCGCGAACCACAGCTTCTGCCCGGCGCGCCTGGCCACGGGCGGATGGCCCCCCACGTCGGCCCCCAGGATGGTCGAGTGCACGCTGGTCTCTGAGATCTCGCGCATGCTGAAGCCCTCCTCGGAGAAGCGGGCCACGACGCGATCCCTCAGCTCGGTGACCTCCTCAGCCCTTACCCCCAGCACGTCGATGTTGTCTGAATAGGGCAACTCCACGGGGCCTGAAGTCAAGGACGGCAGCGGCCAGGCTCCCGGGGCGATCCTGTCGTCGGGGACCGCAGCGCGGCGCAGCATCTCCAGGTGGATTCGCTGCACCAACCAGAGGCTCCAGCTCCAGCCCATGGGAAGCACAACAAGGCAAGGGTGAACCCTCTCGCGCCCGGTGAACTCCTGGCCGCACACGTTCACGGCCAGGCCGAGCTCGAGGGCCACCTCGACGGGCACCGAGGGCAAGCAGAAATAGTTACTCAACCTCCCGATGCCGCCGCACTGGTAGAAACAGGCCTCGATGTCCGCCGAGGCAGCGTACAACTCCTGGCCGGGCTCCAGCTCGACCGCGCCCATCGCCTCGGAGCTCCCGATCTCGACGGTGGGGGCGCAGGCGAAGAGAGCATTGGTGAGCCGGCAGTCCAGCACGAGCCTCTGCTTCCCATTCTTCTTGGCCACGAAGAAGGGGGTCGCAAGACTCAGCGACTCCGACGCCACTCCAAGTAGTCGTCGATCCATCAGGCGCCAGAGAAAACCACATAAGCCTTCTTGTCAGCCCACAAGGTGACGTCGAAGTAGGGACGCGAGGGCGCGCGACCCCTACGCTCGGAGACGACATCGGGGCTCGCGAGGATGAGGTCTTCGAAGTTAGTCAGCACCTTCCGAGCCTCCACGTCCAGCACCCTCGCGGTGTCCACCGGGTCCCGCCCGGAGGGGGGGAGAGATAGCCGTTCAGCGTCATATGGTTGCACTGCACTACCATCACCTCCATAATCGATACGAGGTCCCAGAAGCTGAGCCGCAGCTTCATGGGGTAGAAGTTGATCAAAATTATGCCGGGCCTCCCTGGCGGCGCGCAGCACGCGTCGATGCACCGAGGACTGCGCTGGGCTCGCCGGCCCCACCGCATCGCGCTCACAGCCGTAGAGGGCCTTGAGCGCGGCCACCATGTCATTTGCATCGTCTAGGGCCAGCCGGCGATAGGTGCTGCGGCGGCGGGCCGTCCTAGACGCCCCGACGCCCTCCCACGTCAACCCCTCTGAGCCGACGGAGGGTAGAGGAAAAAGTTCACGCGGTCCACCTGGAGGTCGCGGGCCAACATGTTCTGGCGGCGGAGCGTCACGGCATTGCGCATCTCCCCACCGCCAACGGTCTCTGCGTGCCTGGCTGGCGTGAACGACGGGAGGGGGGTCGCCAGAGAGGATCGTGTCCATCCCCCCTCCCATGGCCGAGGCGGTCATGACGCCGGCGGCGGGCCCTTCTTCCGGGCCGCCGCCGACTTTGCCTCCGCCTTGGCCTCTCGAGCCTTCCTCTTCTCCTTCTCGATCGCATACTCCTTCG